AGTCTCTTTTCAGCTATGTAATTATGTAACTATGTAATGTTGTCTTTAGAGGTGCCCCAAATTTCAAATCCATTTTAACCACCAATTTTACAAAAGAAACCAAACCTACTTTGAATTATTTTATGCCCAATGCCAGTGGCTTTTATAAATGTAAAAGATGCATTGTATGCAAAAACACAGACCCCTCCGTCCCTTCCAAAACCACCAGTTTTAAATCTAATATCACCAACAAAACCTATAAAATTAAAGATTTTATCAGTTGCGATACGAAAAATGTCATCTACTTGTTGGAGTGCCCTTGTGGTCTCCAGTATGTAGGGATGACCACAAGAAGTCTTAAAGTGAGACTGAGTGAACACTGTAGAAATATCAAAAAAGGCTACCGGAATCACTCAGTCTCCAAACACTTTTGTACACATAACGACGACATAAGACACCTTAAATGCATCAGCATAAAAAAAATGTATAATACCGTGGAGAGGTGGTAACATTAAGAACATATTAGGTAAAGCTGAGATGGAATGGGTTATTAATCTCAAAACTCTTACCCCATCTGGTTTAAATGTTGATTTTGACCTGTTTAATTTTATTTAAATTCCTATATACAACCCTTATCTACATGCTTTTATTCTTTATGTCTGCACCTAACCAACCCTCATAATAATAATTTTTTAATTTTTCATCTATGCCTTTCCATTTATGTATCTTGTATTCTGTGTTATCTTTTATTTAATTGTATTTAATTTTATTTTTATTTAATCTATTATTTTCATTTAACATATGTAATATATTATTACTCTGGGGTATAATATAACCTCTATTTAAATCATTATGTTTGGGATTATATTACCCCCTTTTCATGCATACTCCATTTACATATATCTCTGTATCTCTGTACCTTTAAACCATCTACTTATGTGTTGTTGTTTTTTGTTTTTGTTTTTTGTTTATGAACTTTAATCAAACACCTTTTTTTTATGAACTTTAATCAAACAACTTTTTTTTTAACTTTAGTCAAACAACTTTTTTTGTTTTCTTTCTCTTTAAAAAACAACTTTCTCACCCTCGTTTTCACATTTACATAATTTAAATGGACTCATCACCTTTATAACATCACTCCCATACTCTTGAATCCTAATTTTTAAAAGTGATTTTAAAAATTGTCTCTGATTGGCCAATTACACTTTTGGCGCAATTTTCAAATTAACATAGCCCTATTTAAACAACCCCTGCCAGGTTACTACTTTTATCCCATTCTGAAGAAGCCACTTATGGTGAAACGCGTTTATGGTTATTAATTCTGTATTTTACTGTGTATTTTAGATCTATACAAGTTTTTTGGCTACTTTATTGTACCAATCCTCTTTTTATTGCACTCTTTATGCACTTTAAACAACTTTTTTTTACCTATTCCTGGCATTTTAACCTTTCCTGGTTACTTTTACTTCCACTGGCAATTTTAAAGTTCCAGTACTCCAAGAAATCCTAGGTGGGGATAATACCACCAGCACCTATCCATAGAGCAGTACCTCTGCTCTATCCATAGAGCAGTACCTCTGCTCTATCTTTGTGAGTATTATTTTATTTTCTCTACTACTCTCTTAACCTATCACAATTGAGAGCACTATTGCTGCTTTTTATTCTTCTATATTGGAGCCTTGGATCACCAGACGGTGCTGACGGACGTATCGCCGCTACATATCCTATAAGCGGGGATTATACCGCTGTACGCTATCCACACCAGAGCTGGCCATAGCTCCCTCAAATGTGAGATTTTTTACCTCTTCTTATCTGCACATTGAACCACATCAAAATTGAGAGCACTATTGTTGCTTTCTGTCTTTCTTTTCTGAGTTCTGGACTACCAGACGGTGTTGACGGAGACTCCCTCCCTACATATCCCATAAGCGGGGATTATACCGCTGTACGCAATCCACACCAGAGCTGGCCATAGCTCTCTTGAATGTGAGTTCTTTACTTTTTGTTACCTATCACACCCTGAACTTTCATACTATACCATTAGTCGCCTCTACCTCTCTTGTATTTACATATACGGAACGGTCTACACTAGACGCATCCACAGAGGAACTCTATCAAGTATCCTAGACCATCTATTGGCACCCTAGCAATACTTTACTGGACTATCTACCCTTATTTGGCACTGCCCTTCCATATCTTTTTGTATCTATCCACCGAAGGACCCGAGGGGTTTTCCTTCATTTGGGTTGCTGCCTACCTTGACTAATTTTGTGATTACTAGCGCTGAATTCTTTTTGTGTTTATCTTAGGTACCATTGAAAGGGAAGAAAACTATTTATTAGTGACAAGTGATGTCGCATCATTGTACAGTATAATTCCACACGAAATGGGTTTGGAAGCAGTTAAATACTTCCTAACTAAAGCCAATTTTGAAATTGAACAAATGGATTTTATATTGGAAGGTATTTACCTAATTTTAACCAACAATTTTTTCTGGTTTCAGAATACATTTTTATCTCCAGATTAGGGGTACGGCGATGGGCACCAAATTCGCACCCAGCTATGCCAATCTGTTTATGGCATATTGGGAGGAGATTTTAATTTTTTTCAGAGTATCCCTGGGTGTCGAATTTGGTGACCTATCGACGGTACATAGATTACATTTTTCTAATCTGGAATGGTCCACATGATCTTTTACATATGTTCTTAGCTTTTTTGTCATCCAACGAATGGGTGATCGTTCTCACTACCACACAAAGTTCTACCACTATCAACTTTTTAGATCTTCATATTTTTTATTGAAAACCAACAAATTAAAACAAAAAAAAACCAAAAAACATTTAAGCCAGCAGATGCCAACAGATATATAGAAAAAAAGGAGTTGTCATCATAAACCCTGGCTAGAGAATGCCCCAACGGGTCAGTTTTTACGAATTTGACGTAATTGTAGAAATTAACAGGATTACATAAACCAAGCGGACATTATAAAGACAATTTTTTTAGAAAAGGGTTATGAAGAGATTAAATTAACTGGAGTTATGAAAGAAATTCAAGATACCACTAGAGAACGACTATTAACTTATAAGCAACATCAAAGAAATTCAAACCCAAATAAGAATGATGTCCATTTTATATGTAATTTTAACGGAAATAATAAAAAAAAAAAAAAAAAAAAATAATAAAGTTATTAATAAACATTGGTATATGCTACAAAGAGACCCTATTCTAAAGAACCTATTACCAACAAGACCAAAATGTATTTATAGAGGTGCAGCAAACTTAAAAAAGATCATTAGTTCAGAGTAGTGAGGGCCCATCCAAAAATACATTTCTTAAACCAAAGTAAAGTTTGTTTTGGGTGCGGGACATGCTTAGCGTGTAAAACAACAAGAAATCCTAAAAGGAATATAAAGAATCTCAATGAACACACACATATTGATTTCACTTTAAAAGATCAATTAACCTGTTTTTCGAAAGGAGTCATTTATTTACTGAAATGTCCCTGTGATTTATTGTATATAGTTAGGACCATTAGAAATTTAAATGTCCGGATATCTGAACATGTTTGAAATATTAAAAAAAAGGTTTAGAAACCCACAGTGTTTCTAATCATTTTAAAACCCATCACAATCTTAACCCAGAACACCTTTTCTTCTGCCCATTAAAAATAGTAAAAAAAAATATTGGAGTAAAAAAATAGGTTCCGAAGAGATGAAATTTATTTTTAATTTTAATACTTTGATTCCCTCTGTTCTTAACTCAGACTTTAAGATTTGTCATTTTATTTAATTATAATATGTTCAGGTTCCAGCCCTTTTTATAGCTTGTTTTATATTTTTAGATTACCTATTTCAAGTTTTCACCTATTCGTATACAGATTTACCATTTTTTGGGTTGTCACTTTAAATATAATACACTGAATGTGGGTATATATTCACTGTCACTTATGTCACTTTACAATTTATAGTACACCTATTCAGGTCTCTATGTGAAGAATTGCACACACTGTGGACCTTTATCTTGTATGTATAATGTGTAATGTGTTGCATGTGTTGGCTTATTGCTGTTCAGGCTATATGGGATGTGTGTGTGTATGTATATATGTATGTATGTATATATGTATATGTGTGTATATATATATATATATATATATATATATATATATATATATTAGCCCTGTGACAACATGTAGAACAACCTATAACAGATTGATCTACAGTGGAACGCATAGATTCGGCACTATGCGTTCCAGTGACCAGAAACCGGAAGTGACGTGCATGAAGCCGGCGGTGAACGCAGGATGCGTTCCACACACAGAATAGCCGAAAAACCCGGAAGTAAGAGAAACCCATCCCATATAAAGACGCCAAAGAGACCCCCACCAACAATACAGACTGATACCAACTGAGGAAGCCCCCACCATAGGGCGAAACACGTTTTGGACACATACAGTCTACACTTTGGACATTTATTTGGGCAACAACAGTCTATTATAGACTTTGTTATTCTATATTTTGCACTTTAACTGGGGATTTTTTTTCCATCTTATCGGATATTCATTTTTATCAATAATAAAGTTTTCTTATTGGGAAAGTATATTGGAATATTGCAATTTTCTCCTGCTAACTTCCAACTACCCAAGAAGAAATACGAAGGAGGATGGGGACATCCTATTAAGAGTCCCACTGCGCTGGATATAAGAGCCATATGTCATACTGGCTCTAGGCTTGTGAGTAATATCGCTCTATTGCCATTTACCATATTTTATCCTAATATATTACACTATGCTATTCTGTTTTTTTTTTTGTTTTTTTTTAGAATCAACAGATGTGTGCTCCACCTATTGTATGTATTTATTGTATTTCTATATAAGTGGTAGAAGGGGTTCCCACTTAGGTGGTTTGTGGCTGTTTTAGATACCACGCATATTTTCTCACTGTATTTCTACTATTTTAACAAAGGAACACCATAGTCACCTAAATTGCTTTAGCTAAATAAAGCAGTTTTAGTGTAAAGATCATTCCCCTGCAATTTCACTGCTCAATTCACTGTCATTTAGGATTTAAATCACTTTGTTTCTGTTTATGCAGCCCTAGCCACACCTCCCCTGGCTATGACTGACAGAGCCTGCATGAAAAAAAAAAAAAAAATGGTTTCACTTTCAAACAGATGTAATTTACCTTAAATAATTGTATCTCAATCTCTAAATTGAACTTTAATCACATACAGGAGGCTCTTGCAGGGTCTAGCAAGCTATTAACATAGCAGGGGATAAGGAAATCTTAATTAAACAGAACTAGCAATAAAGAAAGCCTAAATAGGGCTCTCTTTACAGGAAGTGTTTATGGAAGGCTGTGCAAGTCACATGCAGGGAGGTGTAACTAGGGTTCATAAACAAAGGGATTTAACTCCTAAATGGCAGAGGATTGAACAGTGAGGCTGCAGGGGCATGTTCTATACACCAAAACTGCTTCATTAAGATAAAGTTGTTCAGGTGACTATAGTGTCCCTTTAAAAATAACCTTATACTGATATACTTATACTGATACCTATCTGTATAGTATATCCAAATAAAGTCTTAAGATCACACCCAAACAGTTACATATTATCCAAATGGAAAGATTGGGTAAACTCATAAAGTGATTATAGTACCCATGGGGAGGTCTGAAAACATATATACATACATGACATGCATGTTTCCATCCATACGCATATCATAAATACTCCAAACAACCCTTGTGTATACTACATAAGGGAAGTGAGCACAAGAACCTACTATGCAATAGTTAGTCCAGTAACCTTTGTTATAACTTTAAATAAAGCAGGAAAAACTATGCATGTGTGTGTATGTATGCATGCATGTATATATGTGTATATATATATATATATATATATATATATATATATATATATATATATATATATATATATATATATATATATATATATATATATATATATAAAAATTGTTTCATACTTGCCGTAATTTTCTTTTCCTGATAATTATTCATGGCAGCATTTATTCATGGGTTAGCTCCTCCCCTTACAGCAGAAAGGACAGAAAATAGAACTCTGAAACTGGTATAAATAGATCCTCCCCCTTCCCATCAGGCAGTCTTTGTAACTAGCTTCACAACTCCTATAGTATATGGGTGGGAACGTAATGCTGCCATGAATAATGATCAGGAAAAGAAAATTACGGTAAGTATGAAACAATTTTCCATTTCCTGATCATTATTCATGGCAGCATTTACTCATGGGGAATACCCAAGCGGTATATATAGAGGGAGGGACAGAGTTCAAAAACAGCTAATAGCTATAAAACCATTATTGAGCTGTATAAATCTTAGAAGACTTTACAAAGCCAAACAAGAATAAATATGAAATTGTCATAAAATCTAGCTCAGACAAGATAATTTTCCCTAGAGGCTGCAAGGTCAGCAACCTCCTGGCATTCAATATCTGAAATATCCTGAATAAATATAGAGTCAGATAGGAATTAAGGCCATGATAGCATAAGCTAGAGAAGGAAAATGTCATTCTGGTATAAAAATTTAAAACCAAATTGATATCAATAAATCAGAACCTTGACGAAGGCATAACTTCCAGAGATCATACTGGAACAAGCAGATAATGTTGGATGAGAACGGACACACCATGCTATTAAACACGGGGAGAATTACACTGAGAATCCTACTACTTACTGGATGTATTTATTAAATATGATTCACACTGCTTCCTCTTGCCTTGTGAACTACTTACCTGAAGATACAGGAACAAATCAATATCTGCCTATCAGAAAGAGGCAGAGCCTAGTAGAGAAATAAGAGTCTATTATTAAACACTGCAACATTGACCCAGTGTTGTAAAATTCAGATTCAACATTACCACACAACGTGGATGAATTGATACAGCAATGATCAGTCACAGGAGAGGAATAAACCAATAACATTACTAGGCAAAGGCAAGAAGAATCATATACAGATTAGTTGAGGGAAAAAAAGAAATATCAGTATGAGCCATAGAATTTGTGGCAACTACTAAATTTATAAGGAGGCCAACCACGTCAGTACCTACATTTGTAAATAGTACAGATTATGCCAAACAGTATAAACAAATTTATTAGAGACTGTTGTGCAACATAAGTAAGAGATATATATATATATATATAGATATATATATATATATATAGATATATATATATATATATATATATATATATATATATATATATATATATATATATATAATTAGGCAAGATACTGACTGGAAGGTGGTAACCAGAGGCACATTACACATTGTGTCAACAGACATAATAGGCAGAATAGTAGAAGATATTCAGTTATCCTTATGAGAACAACAACCACATACTTACTCTTACCTTATCTTCAGATAGTGAAGTATTTATGACAGAGCCTATGGTGATAAACAGCTTGTTATATCTGCAAGATATCAACACCAATCCAAGCATATAATCCACACGTATTAAATCAATGCAATGTTAGGAATGACCATAACTTATACAGATCTAGGTACAGAGACCATGTAAAACATATCAGTCAAATGTTTGTCATCAACAAGCTGCACTGCATTACATTATGCATGATTAATCAACCATTTAAAGCCACACATTGTTTGCAAATTCCAGATATAAGGACACCTAGAAGAATCCCCATGGATATCAGAAGAGAGGTCCTTAATAAAACTACCTATTTAGGGATTTCCTCTATTGTTCAGGCAGCAGGTGAATTTTACCTGAAATAGTAAACCTGGTAGAATGGTCTGGGGCCTGGAAAGACCTCAACATACTTGCAATACACAGCATCAAAGTTACCTGGAGCATATGAGCCTAAAATAATATCTTTATTGCAGAAAGGAAATTATAATGTTTAATTTGCTAGCACCGTATTTAACCCTATAACTTTCCAAGACACCATAAAACCTGTACATGGGAGGTGCTGTTTTACTCGGGGGACTTTGCTGAACACATATTAGTGTTTCAAAACAGAATGTGTTACAATGATGATATCGCCACTCAAAGTGAATTTTTTTGCATTGCAATACTGTATTAGAGGCAGACCGGAAGCACCCAATAGTGCTGCCCCAACACATGTGCTCGCTCTGACAGGCTGTCATAGCGAGCACATTTGCTCCATATACTCACCTTCCGCCTCCCTGCACTTCCAGGTTCTGTGTGAATTGCAGGGAACAGGAACAGTGATGATCCTGTCCCCTATGTAAAAAAAATAAAAACAATAAAGTTAATTCAAAATCCCACCCCCCTTTATCCATTTTAATACAAAAATAACCCCTTCCCTGCCAATTGATCACTGGCTACAGTGATCAATTGGCAGGGATAACATTTTACTGTTGTCTTATTTTTTATTTATTTTATTTATTTTTAACCCCTGAGTGTTAATTATTATTATTATTTTTTTACCCTTTAGGGGTTAAATTTAATTAATTTAAATATTTTAAAATTATATATTTAGCTAGCTGGGGTGGGTGGAAGTTAGTGGGGAATTGGGGGATTTGGTGTTAGGCTAACTAGGGGTTAACATTATTATTTTTATTTTTTTTAAATACACTTGAAAAAGTAAAAAATTAAGCTAAAAACGTTTTAATAAGGTTTAAGTAAAAAATTAAAAACACCCCTCTTTACCCAGTCCAAATAAAATGTAACCCCTTCCCTGCCAGTCAACCACTGCCTACAGTGATTAAAATACAGATCACAGTATTATACTGCAATCTATTTTTTTTTTTAACATGTATTTATTTTTTTAACCCTTATGGGTTCAATTTACTTAATTAATTTAAATATTTTATAGTTATATATTTTGCTGGCTGGGGTGGGTGAGAGTTTAGGAATGTTTTTTTTAAATTAATAAGCAAAACAAGTTTAACCCCTTCAGGACAGAGTCAATAGTACACATTCTGATCAAAACAAAACGTAAACAAAACTGGCATTTGCTATATGTCTGTTCAACTGTAATTCACCTCTTCCATATTAAATGCACCCACACTTATTATATATCATTTTGTTCAGGAGAAACAGGGCTTTCATTCCATATCAAATTAACAATTTATTATGAATAAAAAAATAAAAAAAAAATATATATATATTTTTTTTTTTTTTTACAAATTTGTAGTTCTGCCTCACATTTTAGCTGTAAATGCCATAATACTGTTAGGTTTTACTGCAAAAAAATGCACATATTTGTAATCAGTGATGTCTCACGAGTACAACAGTACCCCCTTATTAATAGGTTTTATGGTGTTTTGGAAAGTTACAGGGTCAAATATAGAACATTCCATTTTCAAATTGAAATTTGCCAGATTAGTAATGATACCTTTGAGAGGGTGTGGTAGCCCAGGAATGATAATTACCCCCATAATGGCATACCATTTGAAAAAGTAGACAACCCAAGGTATTGAAAGTGGGGGGTATGTTTAGTCCTTTTTAGTAGTCGCTTAGTCACAAACACTGGCCAAAGTTAGCGTTCATATTTGTTTTTGTGTGAAAAAAAGCAACACAAAAACAAATAATATTTGGCTAGTGTTTGTGACTAAGTGGCTACTAAGAAAGACTGGACATACCCCACTTGCAATACCACTTGCAATGGGTTGTCTACTTTTGCAAATGGTATGCAATCACGGGGGTAATTCTCATTCCTGGGCTACCATACCAGGGGAGGGCTGGCAGCCTTAGGCCTGGGGGGCAAAACCAGTCAAGTGGCCCATTGCACCACCAAATCAGTGCAATGGTGCCCACCTTTTCCTGGTTTGATAATGGATATTGATGTTATGCTAATCAGTAGCTCTGTGCCATACCCGCTCCTTCACGGCTCTGACTTTCAATGTTGTCAGAGCGCAGGCTGAGAATCTCTGAGCCTGTGCTCTGACTCACTAACTGAGCGTCAGAACCACGAGGGAGAGGCTATAATCTGACTGCACCTACTGCTGGTGCGCACCAGTGGACCACCAGCGAATCGTTTAAATTGAATAGGCTGGTGTCCCCAACTTGTGAGCTGTGTTGTCCGCCGGGTGCCTCTGTTGTGATGGCACCCTGCGTGACCGCACAGCGTGTACATCCCAACCGCTGGCCCTGCTGACACACACTGATGTTACTACTTAGAAATACCTCAATATTAATACAGACATCAGAGTAAACACCAATAAACTGTGGAAACAGAGCTGATCCCACCCAAATTTATAAAGATTTGCTTACTGGATTTGTTGTAACATTAAATCATGCCTCCTCCTCTCTCTCTTCCATGCACTGCTCTGTAAGCTGGGAGGAAGTGAAGAGTAATCACAATCTCCCAGCACAGTGGCACCTGTGGCTGCATGGGGAACAGCTATATTTGCCGCCACCCATGTGACATCACAATGCCCCACCTATATGAGCTGCCATACGAACTAACCCCAGTGCTGCCCACAGTGTGTGTTTACATTAAAAAGCCTGCAGGGACCGGCTATAGACACCAGAACCACTTCATTAAGCTCCAGTCGTTCTGGGGACTATAGTCCCTTTAATGTAATGTAAATTATAGATTAGTGTCACTAATAATATACTAGATTGCCTACTTACAACCAAATGAGGATGATGATGGGCTGCAGTTTGGCTCCACTGGTCTGGTGTAGAACAGGATCTCTGGAGGCTGTTTGCAACTGTGGTCACAAAATTCAATGTTCTGGGAGAATTGGAAGCAGCTCCATTTTTTGGGGGCCCCTTACACAGCTCAAGGTCTGGGCCCCAGGGCCTGACGGTGAGTATGCCCACAAGGCCCACTCATAAGTCCACTTATATGTTCCACCCACCCATGAGTTCGCTCACAGGGAGTGGAGTGTGTAGGGGATGTGTTATGTGTTATTGTAGAGGATCTAATATGTGTGAGGATCTAATACCAGTTTGTGCAAGTGATGCAGTGTGTTTGTGTGTAGAGGAAGCAGTGTGTATTTGTGTATAAGGTATGTATTGTGTGTTTCTGGTGGTGTGTAAGGGATGCATTGTGTGAATCTGTGTTTGTATGCATAAGGGATGCAAGGTGTGTGTCTGTAAGTGTGTGCATTGAGTGTGTGTTAGTGATGCATTGTGTTTCTGTGTGTATGTAAGAAAAGCAGTGTGTGTGTGTGTAAGTGCTTGCATTATGTGTTTCTGTGTATGTGTGCAAAGGGTGCATTGTCTTTGTGTGTAAGTGTTGCATTGTGTGTGTGTAATGGATGCATTGTGTGTTTCTCTGTGTGTAAGGGAAGCATGTTGTGTTTCTGTGTGTGTAGGGATGTATTTTGTGTTTCTGTGTATGTATAGGGATGCATTGTGTGTGTGTGTGTGTGTGTGTGTGTGTGCGTAGTGTCCTCTCCTCCCTGTGTCCTCCTCACCTCCCCCTCCCTGTGTTCTTCTCAGTCCCCCCCTTCTCCTCATCTCCCCTTCTCCTCACTCTTACTCTCCCCCTCCTCCTTGTGTTCTTCTTACTCCACCCTTGTTCTTCTTACCCCCCGTTTTTCAAACCCCCCTTCTTCTTCTTACTCCCCCTCCTCCACCTTCTGTTACTCCCCCCTCCTTCACTTACTCCCTCCCTTCACTTACTCCCCCCTCTTTCACTTTCTCCCCCCTCCTTCATTTACACCCCCCATCTTCACTTACTCCCCCCATCACTTACACCCCCCATCTTCACTTACTCCCCCCATCTTCACTTACTCCCCCCATCCTTCATTTACACCCCCATCCTTCATTTACACCGCACTCCTTCATTAACACCCCCCATCTTCACTTACTCCCCTCCTTCATTTTACCCCCTCCTTCATTTACACCCCTCCTTCATTAACACCACCATCTTCACTTACTCCCCCATCTTCACTTACTCCTCCCTCACTTACTTCCCCCCTTCACTTACTCCCCCTCCTTCACTTACTCCCCCCTCCTTCACTTACTTCCCCCCTTCACTTACTCCCCCTCCTTCACTTACTCCCCCCTCCTTCACTTACATCTTCCACTTGCTCCCCCTCAGCTGTTTACGCCCCTCTCCTACCACTTACTCCCCTCATGCACCCCATCTTCACTTGCTTCCCCCCTCCCTTCGCCTCCCCCTCAGCCCTTACTCCCCATCTTCCGCCTCCCCTCATTCGCCTCCCCCATCCTTCGCCTCCTCTATCCTCACTTGCTTCCTCCCCTTCGCCTGCCCCCTTCTCCCCCTCTTGCTCCCCCACCTCAGCCACTTCTCCTCCTCGCCTTACTCCCAGCACTTTCGCCTCCCCCACTCTCATTACTTTTCACCTCCCCTGCCCTCCCCTGTAGCATGGCCGAGCTGCTTGCTGGTCCGCGGAGCCCGGCCGGACTGATAGGAAGGCACACGCTGAGTGTGCACTTCCTGTCAGTCAGGCCGGTTACAGGAAACAGAAACTCCACGCGGAACAGGAGTTTCTGTTTCCTGTAACCGGCCGGACTGACAGGAAGTGCACACTCAGCGTGTGCCTTCCCATCAGTCCGGCCGGGTACTGCGGACCAGCGAGCAGCTCGGCCATGCTACAGGGGAGGGCAAGGGAGGAGCAGCTGCAGCCGCCTGAGGCTCTTAACAGAGCGCTCAGGCGGCTGCAGCATTTAAAGGACCGGCCCTGCAGCGGGCGGTCACAACAGAATTTAGGGCGGCCTCGGAGGTAATTGCCTCCCTGCCCCCCGGCCCAGCCCGCCCCTGTACCATACGCTCTCAAAGGCAACATAACCAATCTGGCAAATTTCAATGGAAAAAAAAATGAAATGCAAGCCTTATATGTGACTCTCTAACTTTCCAAAACACCATAAAACCTGTACATAGGGGGTACTGTTATTCTTGGGAGACTTCACTAAACACAAATATTAGTGTTTTAAAACCGTAAACCATATTACAACAATAATATAGCCCATAAAAATGTTGTTCGTTTGTAAAAAATGCAAAAAAAAAAAAAATGTTGCTATTACTTAAAATATCATTGTTGTAATACAATTTATCATTTTGAAACACTAATATTTTAGTTCAGCGAAGTCTCCCGAGTAAAATAGTACCCCCTATGTACAGGTTGTATGGTGTCTTGGAGAGTTAAAGGGTGAAATATAGTGCTTGCAAATTAAATTCTCTGCACTTTCTCCCTGTGTTGTCAGGCATGTCAATCAAATTTTAATTAATCAAATCACATAATTATGTTAAAAGATTACTTAAATATACACATAGAATTTTAATATATATGCATTTATAGGTATTTAAATTATATGTGTATACTAATGTAATATTTTATGTAATTATATATATCTCTCTCTCTCTCTCTCTCTCTCTCTCTCTCTCTCTCTCTCTCTCTCTCTCTCTCTCTCTCTCTCTCTCTCTCTTATTACACAAGATCCAGCGCACTCACCTATCCACTAAACAGCAGCTTTAATGTTGAAAGATTTTATTTATCAAAGATGGGGTACATTGACGTTGTGGCAGGCTTATGCAATGTATGATCATATAATGTAACTAAACCCCCATTATTTTTGCCTAGATTAGGTGTTTTTAAAAAAATAAAAAATAAATAAATAAATAAATCTTTCAACATTAAAGTTGTTGTTTAGTGAATAGGTGAGTGCGCTTGATCTTTTGTATTGTATTATTTGACCCCCAGCAGCACCCCCATTTATGCATGTTCCGGTGAGTGCAGCCAACCCCCCTTGTTTTATATATGTATAATGCAATACACAAGATCCAGCGCACTCACCTATCCACTAAACAGCAACTTCAATGTTGAAAAAAAAATTTTTTTATTTTTTATTTTTTTTTGTAAACACCTAATCTAGGCAAAGATAAAGGGGGTTTAGTTACATATATATATATATATATATATATATATATATATATATATATATATATATATATATATATATATATATATATATATATAT